TATGGTTCCAAACGATATTATATGATCCCGAGATGTATCCCTAAAATTTCAAGGCTTTTAGACACCGGGCCCCGAAACCTACAAAATTTCTCAAAAAAGTGTGGATATTAGCCTTGAATTTTAGAATTTTTTGACTTTTTTTCGCCCGGAAATTTAAATTGCCGAAATTTTAACCAACGTTTCTAATGCCCTCCAGAAGTCTAATTGGTTGGGTGTAACCATCCAATTTGCCTTTAAACGACCAATTTACAACTTGCAACGATTTCATTAACTCAAGCCTACCACGAACATTTATGAAAACATATAATGATTATATATGATTCCAAACGGCATTATATGACCCCGAGATAAATCTCTTAAATTTTCAAGGCTTTTCGACACCTGGCCCAGAAATATTCGAAATTTCTCAAAAAGCATGGATATTAGCCTTTAATTTTGGAAATTTTTGACTTTTTTTCGCCTGAAAAAAAAAATTGTTTAAATGTTAACCATGGTCTCTAATACCCTCCGGAAGTCTAGTTGGGTGGGTGTAACCATCCAATTTTCCTTTAAAAGACCAATTTACCGGTTTACAACTTGCAACGGTTTCATTAACTCAAGCTTACCACGAACATTTATGACAACATATAATGATTATATATGATTCCGAACGGCATTATATGACCCCGAGATAAATCCCTTATGTTTTCGAGGCTTTTAGACACCTGAAAACCTCCAAAATTTCTCAAAAAACGTGGATATTAGCCTTCAATTTTGGAATTTTTTGACTTTTATTCGTTCGAAAATAAAAATTGCCGAAATGTTTACCATGGTCTCTAATATCCTCCGGAAGTCCAATTGGGTAGGTGTAATCATCCAATTTACCTTTAAACGGCCAATTTACCGGCTAATACTTGCATCGATTTCATTAACTCAAGCCTATTACGAACATCCATGACAATGTATAATGATCATATATGGTTTCAAATGGAATTATATGACCCCCCCAATGTATTCCCTAAAATCTCAAGACTTTGCGACACTAGCCCTGAAATCTCAAAAATTTCTTAAAAAGCGTGGATATTAGCCTTCAATTTTGGAAATTTTTGACTTTTTTTCGCTCGGAATAAAAATTGCTAAAATGTTTATCATGGTCCCTAATACCCTCCAGGAGTCGAATTGGGTGGGTGGAACCATCCAATTTCCTTTAAACGGCCAATTTACTGGTTTACAACTTGCATCGATTTACCAGTTTATAACGGCCAATTTAATTAACTTGCACCGAACCCGATTTGAACCAAAATTGACCCAAACCTGTTTTAATTTGTTAAAACCCGAATTTAATCCGACTTGTTACTAACCTGACCTGAATTTAACTTGACCCGTTCCTAACCCGATCCGAAATTAACCCAACATGTTATAAACCCGACCCGAAATCAACTTGACTTGTTATTAACCTGACCCAAATTAAACCCGACTTGTTATTGACCCGATCCGAATTTTACCAGACATATTACTTACCCGACCCAAAAATTCTACCTGTTACTAACTCGACTCGAAATTAACACGACTTGTTATTGACCCGACCTTAATTCAACCCAAATTATTCCTGACCACCTTAAATGCAATTTAGACCACCTTATTATTGTTGATCAAAGCATTTTGTCTAGGGTGGCCAAGTCAATCTAGGCCAGCAAAAGAAAGGAGCATCATCCTCAAGTTTAAGAGTTAAATATAGTATATATTTGTTGTATGGCCAAAGGAGATAGTTATCTTCCTAAATTATAGACTATAGTTCCCTAGTATATTGCCATATATATTATAGTCAAAGGAAATAATTAGCTTGATAAAAATGATAATTATCTATTTATAGTTAGTTGAACCCGAAATGACCTGACTTGGAAATGACCCCACCTTATTGTAACCTGCAAATTATTGACTTGAACATAACCTGACTTAAATCCAAGAATGACCTGACTTGGAAATGACCCAACTTGAAAATGACCCAACCTGATTATAACCCGCAAATTATTGACTTGAACTGAACCCGACTTGAACCCAAGAATGACCCGACTTGAAAATGTTCTGACCTGATTATAACCCACAAATTATTGACTTGAACCGAACCCGACTCAAAATCGAGAATGACCCGACTTGATTCTAACCCGTAAATTATTGACTTGAACCGAACCCGACTCGAATCCGAGAATTACCCTAACCCGTTTAACCCATGAAAACCCGAATTAAACCCGACCTATTGTTCACCCGACCCGAATGTAACCCGACCCAAATCCGATAAGAAGTATGACCTAACCCAAACCCAACCCGTATAGGTTATGGAATGAATCTGAATTGACCCGACCCGAGTTGACCCGACCCAAACCCAACCGTTTACTTTTTTTTTTTTTTTTTCTCTCACCCATTCCATGATTTCCATTACTTTTTTATTACCCTTTTTGAATTTACAATCATTTTTTGGTGAACCTACTGCTACCTGGAATCTGTATACTTCTATTGTTGCATAAAGCTGCATGTACTCGTCAATATATTTTTTGTGGATTCTGGGGAACATGCTGCGTTTGAAGATCATATATGGTGTCTAAATTCTCTAATTGAAATATTACATTGTTTATGCTCTTTTTGGTGGTCAGGAACTTATATGATCCTACTTGTGCAGGTGATTAGCTCTCTTAGGGCTCACACAGATTCAGTAGAATGTGTTGGGTTTTCACCAAGGTTTGTCGGTCTTCTTTTTTTGTTCTGTTGTATCTTTTGTTTGTGGCTGATGAGTATCATACAAGCATTGTTTTAGCAAATGTCGACCTTTATGTGTCAAGATTACAACTTGCTCTGTGGTATGATCTATATGTGGCAGTTAGTCTGGCAGTGAAGTGGTGTTATTTGTTCACCCCATGTTCCCAAGTAGGCAAAAATTATGGAAAATAAAAGTCTATTCTTCAGTTTGATGAAGTTTCTACTTTAGTAATCTGTTGAATTTCATCCCAAGTTATGTTTTGTTCTTTCTAACTAACGTGTAACTTTCTAAATACTGTACTAACAGTACATGAGCATCATAAATAGGTAGAGAGGATCTTAGTAGTTAGTGATTTGAAAATGGCAAGAGCAAGTTGGCGGATGAGTAATTTTTATGATTATTTGCTGGAGTCGTATGTGAATACTCTCCAGAATTCCTACTTTGCATGGAAATAATCGAATATTCCATAACCAATTGGTATTTCTGCTTTCGCATATGAAATCATAGGCTGGAACCTGCTGATTATTAGGCAAAATATAGTTTTAGGCAGTACTCAAATCCACAAAACACTTGTGCATTCTCTCCCCTTTTTTTTGAACATCAAAATACTGTTTAACCTCACTAATCTACTACTACTACTACAGCGGTCCATGGGCGGCAACTGGAAGCTTGGATCATAAACTAATCGTGTGGGATCTTCAACATTCAGAACCTCGCAGTACATATCACCACGAGGTTTGCCTAAATTTGGCCTGGCCATTCATATTGGCTGTTTTGATACTGTGGACTTTTTTTTGTTTGTCTTGTATATTTGCAACTTTTTTACCCTTTACTTTTAAGCAGGATGGGGTAACATGCCTGACATGGATTGGGACATCAAGGTTCATAGCTACAGGATCTGTTGACGGTAAAGTACGAGTTTGGGATAGTCTCTCCGGAGAGGATACAGCTGTCAGAACCTTCAGCGGACACAATGAACCTGTTCAATCTTTGAGTGTTTCTGCTGACAGAAATTTCCTTGTTTCTGTCTCTCTTGATGGGACTGCTCGTGTTTTTGAGATTGATGAACTCAAGTGAACTGAATTTTGAGGTATGTATCCTAGGCGAAGCCTTTAGCTAGAGAAACATTTATGAATTGGAGATGGGGAGCTTGAAGAACTGATTGCGAGTTGCGACTGCATAGTAAGGAATGAAAGGAAATCAATGTTCAATTTGACCTTTTTTTTTTTTTTTTTTTTTTTCTTTTTTTCCCTCTTGGGGAGTGTAGATCTCTTAAATTTGATCAGCATAGTTGGTTATTTTTACTAATGCTCATATACTCTGTATACTTCATTCTGAATCTATAATTTATTAAATTATATCTTAGCCTCAGTTGATTTTCTGGAGATTTTATCTTCTTTATTATTTGGCAATTCGTCAATATTGTACATTTGAATGCAGAATTGTAGACATAGTCCCACTTTTTTCTAATGCAAAGTACTCAAGAGGACATTATTTTTGATTTTTTAATCTTTTATGTAAAGGTAAGAAAAGAGAAGATTTTAGGAAATCCTTTTCACGAAAGGAATTCCTAATGCGAAAGTAGTATTTTTTAGATGGAGTAATAATTTTGGGCGGCAAACCTGCAAGTATTGTTGATTATATGATGTTTTTGGACTGACCCCTTACTATTGAAAATTGCCAAGACTTTTACTTGATCTATACAGCAAGTATATTAAAAGAACAATTTCAAACTGAATGAAAAAATATTTGCTAAAAATATTAATTAATTATTGGTCAGTGCAGTCTAAGATAAGCTTCCCCTCGATCTATCACTATCCATGGCATTTTTAAAATGAACGTGTCACAGTTAATTACTCCTACAACTCATGTATATGTTGACAGAAAATTCTTCTCAAACGATTATATAATCATTTCTCAAATTTATAATCTATGTTTCTTCAAAAAATTTAGGTTGTCAATGTCAAATTACTTGCAAGCATTACATAACCTGCTGGTTTGTTATAATATAACCAAGAAGCAAAGGAGTTAGTCAGAAGTTGCACAAATAAACTCAATTTTATTTAGAACCAGCATGACTCTAATCAGTTGAGCTAAAAAATCAACCAGTAAGAATTTATTTGTCACAATTTGGTCGTTCACAGTCAGATGGCTGTTGTTGCTGATACAATCGACTGTGTCTGCATCAGTCGCGAAACCTGGCTGCCCAAGCCAGTGCGGTAACTTGACCATTCCTTACCCCTTTGGTATTGGCTTCTCTTGCTCCATGGCCTTTGAGTTCACACTTATTTGTGACACTTCCACAAGTCCACCCAAAACATTTATACCCAGACCAATAACTGATACCAACACTGAGGTGCTAGACATATCAGCTTCCCAAGTTCGCGTTGCAAATAGGGTGACATTGAGTTGCTTCAACCCTTCAGGAGAAGCAGTTCGGAACAAAACAGAATTAATAGCATTTAACGCTGATTCCCCTTATAGTTTCTCATCTACTGCAAACAAGTTTACAGTCATTGGCTGTGATGTGTTGGGGATAATCGTTGGATTGCAGGGCTTGGGTGCTGCCTGTGGAACACTCTGCGCGAAACAACAGGATGTCATTGGAGGGTATTGTTCTGCCATTGGCTGCTGCCAAGCCCTGATTCCCAAGGGATTAACTGCTGTGGGGTTTGCCTTTTCTTATCCTTCGAATCACACCAGTGTCATAGGGTTTAATCCTTGTGTTTATGCCTTCTTAGCTGAAGAGGATAAATTTGTGTTCCAAGGAGCCTCCGATCTTCTTGACCCAAGTTTTGCAAATAGGACAACAAACAATGTTCCTATTGTTCTTGATTGGTCAATTGGTAATGGAACGTGCAGCCAAGCTAAGCAGAATTTAACGTCGTATGCATGTCAGCATTACACCACATGTCGTGATTCTGATAGTGGTAAAGGTGGATATCGCTGCTATTGCCTCCCTGGTTACGAGGGAAACCCTTATCTCAGTCCTGGTTGTACAGGTTGGTAACTTCTTTTGCTTCCTTCTTTCTTTTAAGGTTATTGTTTACATTTAGGCTTTCTCCCATTTATCTGTACTCAATTTAGCTGTAGAATTGAACTCGAGTAACCCTTGTCTGAAGTCTGATCACATTTTTGTAAGCTTTATATAGCAAAGCCAAGAGGTTCTTACAGTCTTATAGATAGATATTTTTAAATTATATAATATGACATATAATGATCACTCTTGTACTTGTATGTTCATGATATTCCAATAACACTTCTGTTGCCAGATATTGATGAATGTGCAGATCAGAACAGCAATCAGTGCTCTAAGATCTGCAAAAACACTCCAGGAAGTTACATATGTTCTTGTCCATCTAAGTATTCCGGTGATGGTTTTAGAAACGGGACAGGTAGCGTTCCAGAACCCTCTCTCCTTGCCATGAAAGCAAGTCTAGGTAATTGTTCACTAATTCTTTCACATTTGTACATAAACATCTAAAGTACTCTGTAGTTGTCTAATATCATACAGCGGTTCTATGCTGATGCCTTTCTTTCATCCAGGTACTAGCGTTGGGGTGTTATTTTTGCTCATAGGAATAAGTTGGGCGTGTTTTATGATTCGGAAAAGAAGGCTGGTGAAGTTGAGGGAACAATTTTTTAAAAAACAATGGTGGTTTGCTGCTGCAGAAACAGTTATCTTCCGAAAAACAAGCAGGAATAGAGTCTGCCAAGATATATACAATTAAGGAATTGAAACTAGCTACTAAAAATTTTAGTGAAGATAACATTCTTGGTAAAAGGAGGGTATGGAACTGTGTATAAAGGCCTATTTCCAAATAATCAAGTAGTTGCAATTAAGAAGTCGAAAGTGGTGGATCAAAATCAGATTGAGCAATTTATAAACGAAGTGGTTATTTTAACACGAATCAACCATAGAAATGTGGTGCAACTCTTGGGTTGTTGCTTAGAGACAGAAGTTCCTATACTAGTGTACGAGTTCATTTCCAATGGTACTTTATATGACCATATACAAGTAAAAGTACATCACCTAGTTGGCTTTTTTTTATGTAATAAGGTAATGTCAGTGATAGCTTGAGCTTATATAATCTAATGTTGTTGGCTGGAAGAGGAGCCTAGGTTTTGTTTAGCCTAGGACTTTGTTAATATGCACACGATACAACAAAGATATTGAGATATTTATAGCATAAAGATACATTTTAGAAACCGTAAGATGTCAAGTAGATTAATCTTTAAAGAATAAAGGAAATACTTTTAGAAAAACTTCAAAATAAAAGGATCGTCGCTCACGCCTATCTTCAGTCAAACCGGTGCGACCAATGCAGGGCAAAAGGAATATGAAATATGTGACTCTACTCTTGAATAGTTTCATATAGAGTACTTAAGAGACCTCTAGTATGAAAAGGTCTAATGGACCAGGCCAGTGGGTTTGGTCCATATGGTCTTGGACATTACGGGCCCTTCACCACATCAATATCAAGTTGTCTCGAAGATTATCTCCTTTGCTCACTTACTAGGTCCCATCATTTTTATTTTCATGGACCATCAAGTCTATTATGTTTGATTTATCATCAATAATTAATATTGCATCATCTCAAGGAATGTTATCATGAATAATTATGATATAGGATAATGAATAGGAATTCCTCATCATTCAATAGTACACTACTATACTCCCTTCACTTCAGAAACAGTTACAAATTATATTGAATCACTTTTGTAAGTTACAATTATAAAATCATTTCTTATACTACCTCCGGTCTAAATTACTCACAACTTTGGAGTATTATTTGTGAGATATAAAATATTCTAAAGTTGCAAGTAATTTGGACCGGAGGCAGTAGAAATGTTTTACAAATATAAATGCGTTATCTATATAATATATCTATGCGTTACCCAAAATATATATATATATATATATATATATATATATATATATATATATATATGAGTAGAAATTTAGGCCTCAATTGTAATTTAGTTATACCTTAGAACTTAACATATTGGTCATTTAATTGACAAAACGTACGAAGTAATAATACTCTGTACATTCTTATTTCAAAATAATAAAATTGTTTTTTTTAAATCATACTATATATTTCTTACTAATCTACCTAACAAGGACCAAGTAAGCAACTTTTTTTTAAGAACCACTTCATATTGGTACTAATACATACTCCGTTTTTCTTAAAGGTAAACTCAATTACCCTAAAAAATGAAGAAACCTGAGTGGCACTACATCAACAATCACCCCCACCCTACACGCCACCTGGTGGAGCATTCACCCCGAGTACCACAACATCAACAATCACCCCCACCCTACGCTCCACCTGGTGGTCCGGATGCTCCGGGGTGTCCGAGGAAACATCAACATGATTACATGAACCAAGAGCCATATAGTTAATATGCTGTGTACGATGACTAAGGGTCTGTTTCGATTGACGACTGAAATAAGCTGAACTAAACTGAATATTTTATAAAAGAAGAAATTTAAGAACTGAACTAAACTGAAAATAATCTGAAGATAACATGCCCTAAATGAGCCAAGGGTATGCCCCACAAATACGGTGATTCCAACTTTATTACCGTTACATATTATAATACCCACACTTTCATAAAAAAAAAACAACAAAACCAAATCCATCTTATTCAGATGAGCAGCACACCTCTCATCACTCTTCCCATCTAAACACTAACCAAACCACTCTTTCTTTCTTTCTTCCAAAAAAAATCCCATAAAAATGGCAGAATATGAAACACAAAACAATCAAGAACCCACAATAATCCCAAAAGAAACCGCAATTCAAACCTTAAACACAATAATCCAACTCCATTTCGAAAAAACCCTTGAAAAAAAACGAGCAGTAGACCACCAAAAGAAGCAACTTTGGAAGCTCTTTCAACATTTCTTCCTCTTTCTTTCCTTAGTTTTCGCTTCGCTTTCGCTGAGCACTCGCCTTCAATGCCGCCATTCTTGGATCCCCATTTCACTCCTGTCCTTCTCACATCTCATCTTCTATGTATCTGTTGCACAAACTCTAAGGTGCATCAATGCTTTCAAGTATCAAAGAAGGTGTCATAAGCTTACTCTTGGCCTTGCTACTGATAAGCTCAGGCAGCTTAAGACGATCACTATGATTAACAGTGATGCAAGAAATCACGTGTCGTTTGGTGTAATTAATAATGATGTTGACGATGAGGGTTGCTTCGTTAATGGGCAGGATTTTGAAATTCATTATCAAGAACCTCCTGAGAGTTATTTTGGTAAGTTTAAGAGAAATTGGGCACTTTATTTTGGGTTTTTAATCTTGGTTTATGGTTTTATGGTTTCTTCCTCTGTTGTTCTTCTTTGTTTCTAGTAAAAACAAATTAGTATTATTATTCTTTTGTATTATTGATTCAGATTTTGTTTCTTTATTGGGTAATTAAATTAGTGAATTATAAAGATGAATATTAATTTTACATTCTTTAGTAGCTAATGATTTGTTAATCATGTTTAGATATTAGTAATGTAGTACACACGTTAAATGTTACTCGTAAATTCGTAAGAGCGTTAGTTGATAAGTACTTGATATAATTTAAACTTGTAATGCGATAACTAAATTCCAATGATAGATGCAAGTGGCAGTACTATAAAAATGAATTGAAGAAGAGCATGTGTGTAGTTAAGATTAAAGGCTGAGGATGCAACGGATAACTACTGTCAATTGTTAATCAATTGCATCTACTTTCTCTCTCTTCAACCCTAAATCAAAGGTGCACAAATTTTGAGGACTTTTATTATGGTATTGAAGTATTTCTCAGTCAAAAGACTGAATATTCAGATCTTTCTATTATTGGACATTTTTTACTATTGTATCATTATTCTTTACAGTAAATAAAATGAACCATATTATATGTGGTGGTGACTGTGAAGTAAAGGATATTGTTGAATTCTGGTCGGTCAATTTTTGGTATGTCGATTATTTACAATTTACATGGTTTGGCACTAGAGATATTTCATAATTCATCAAAAAAAAAAAAAAAAAACTTCATGATTGTCCATTTAGAAATTATAGGTCACATTCGACTTTGATGGAAAACACTTAAATCAGATGTTAAAAAGACTTCAAGTTAGTAGTAGTAGTAGTATCAACTATCAAATCTATTATGGTAAGCTACATTTAAGGAAATGTCGAAGTATTACCCGCTTGCCCGCTTCAAAACCGATGCAAGGCACCCCATAAGCTAACCGAGTTGCCTGAGCATAGAGATGCAGCATTTGGGGACATTCTTGTTCAGCAGAATAACGTCGTAAAAAATAGAGCTTATTATTGACATAAATAATGTACATCTCTATTTATTTCCTAAAGTAAAGCCATGGATGTCAAGAAACAGTTAATGTACAATGAACTCAAAAATAGAACAACCAGCTCATGCCCCAGAGAGTGCACTGGACAACGATTTATATGCGTTCACGCACAGTTTGAATTTTTCTTCAGCTGCAGCCTGCATTTGAGTAACAGTCACCATGTTAAAGAGTGGCAAAGTCGTGTTTGAAATTTAGTGAGCGAGTTGAATGATCATTAACATCCCAGATAAATGCAGTACTCCATATCAACTAAAACTTAAAATAGTGATGGGTATTTCTCAGTATGTGATGGAACGAGTTCTTCTAACAACTTGAGCACATAATACATGTAAAACAGAATTACCGATTCATGGACATTGCTCGTAAAAACAAGGGGATATAATAAAAAACAAAAAACTTGTGAATATTTCAAGAAAACCCCATTTCCTATTCTGTGTTCTCACTTCTTTTAGAGAAACACAGCTTCCCATGAACAAATCACAATTCCAACAAACATCAATCTCAAGTCATCGATCAGGTGATTCAAGGGAACTGATAATAATATTTTTTTTTCTAGCCAGTTCTGCAGAGAAATTCAAGATGACAGATTTGTTCATATTTAAGTATTGAACTAGGTGTCTAATTTCTTTGATGGGCTAATTAGGCGACGCTAACAGTGCATTCGATGATGGGTGAAGAATTAAAATTTTGGATGCTAACCTGTGAAGAACCTTGATGTTTATCAGGGTGCCACTTCAGTGCCGACGAGTGAAAACTGCAAGGGTAGAAATGTTTTTTTTAGAGAGATTAAATAACATACTAGTACATGATTCAGTGTTCAGCACCAAATTTGAATTGATAATCCAGTCCTTAGAACTTACGCAGTTTTCACATCTTTCAACTTCAGAGGACCATTTTGCGGTAGACCAAGTACGGCTCTATCTGAACGTGATCCGACATTAAAAGCTTCGTCTTCTAAATCAGATTCATATGCTGTTTTCCATTCTTTCTGATGATCCCTTGTATTGTAATATGATTCTCTCCAGTCAAAACCAGGAGGAGTTGATCTATGAGAAGTTCCTGCCCATGACCATGAATACCATCTATTTCCAAAAGAAGCTTGAAAGATATGTTCAGGATGATCATCATCGTCTTCAGACGCAAATCCTTTTCGAAACTTACCTAAGTGAAGCATCAACTTTATCAGAAGACTTTCGGTGAAGTAATGAAGATCTTTATGAACAAACTAAAAGTTATAATATAAGAGGTGTACATCAAAGGAGAAATTACAAAATACTCCAGGAAAAATAAAATAAAAAAAAAAAGATGGTATGCCATTATGGAGAGACTAGAAAATGCAAGAAATATCTACGCTAATCAGACAGCAATTTGTTGTGCAAAAATGGCAGATTAGGAAAAATTATGAAGAAGCATAAACTCACGTCTCATTCTATGGTTGCGAATCTTTTGAGCACGAGAGTCTGACTTTGATCGTCCTTTATTTGTAGAGTTTCTTGGTTTTTCATCACTGTCCGTGTCCCAATTATTTGCTCCATATGCTTTCTGTTCATCTTTCTGAAACATATAAATGCCAAACAAGTGTTACTAAACCTGCCAATGCTTATCTGTTGCATCAAAATACAAATAAGTTCTTTACCGAAAAGCCAATGTAGGAAATATGTTCCTCCTTTAATGCCTAGGTAACATGGTTCAAAAATAAATCATATTGCATGATAGTTATGCTGTTTCCTTATGTTTGGATAGAGAGAAATGGAGTGAAAAGAAGAGAAGAGAAGAGAAAAGGAGAGATGCACCTTTGTGTGTTTAAATATCTAATGCGAGAGAAGAGTAGGGAACTGGAAGGTCCATTTTCCTTTCCTCTTATAATAAACCATATCCCTCCATTGTTGGAGAGACTAGGAAGAAAAATGGAAGGTCACCTTCTCCCTCCCCTCACCTAACTTTCCCTTCCCTCTTTTTCATTCCCTTTCACTATTGTTATCCAAACGTAGTGTTAAGTATAATAAAGAGTTTACTAGATCCTTATGGCTTATATATTATGAAGGTAGTCAAATCACCATCCCACAGAACTGGCATTTCGAAGAGTATCTACTTACATACAATGGAGACTAGACAATGAGTTCACATGCAATAACATTGCTTTTCTGCTAGACAGTAGGCAAGAATGCAGAGACATCAAAACTCACAAGAAACCATGCTTTTAAGCCTTATAGTATAACCCAAATATCTACTCCATAAGAGTAAAAATATAACCAATCTCTTATAATTTGAATGACTATGGAGGTTATAAGAAACCATAGCTTCAACAAATCATCTCTACCAGCTAAGTCATACAGCAAAATTTGTCCCTGAAGAGGAACTAAGCCAGTATGACCTGTAAATGAAAATAAACATGACAGTGCAATACCCGAGAAGAAGTTCCTGACTCCCCATATTCAGATAAGAGACCCCAAAGTGCCTTCTTTGCATCAGCTCGCTTTTGGCGTGTCACATATCGGGCATAATTCTGGAATTTTGGTTCTATCATATGAGTTCATGAACAATAAAAGAGGAACTGAAAGACAACATAGAAGGTAAAAACAAAAAAGGGAGGTAAGTACTTTAGATGGTTGTTGGCCTCCGTTGAAGTCCTGGCATGGAACAAGGGGAAGAAACACTAGTCACACACCTTTTCAAGACTTTTTAAGCCATATAAACAAATAGGGTGCGGATAGTAAAGCATTAAAACAAAAAAGGTGAGAACAGTTCTATCTTTAAGTTTAGAGTTAAGTTATCCCTAAGCTCATGATCATTAAACAGCAAGCATAAAGAACATATCGTGATATCGGGCAAATAAAAAAAAGTTGGAAGAATTATTCAGTATATGTTTTTTCTATAGTGAATTAAACGATACTCCAATCACCTAATCCCCAAACAATCACAGAAAGCATGATATGCAAGATCAAGCAAAGAAAACCCAACCACTAGGATACGTATGGTTCAAAGAACTCTATAAGAAGTCAGTGCTCTAAAGTGAAGAAGGGGACTTGATAGCAGAACAACGACCATCTTCCAGCATAGAAACATTATTCGAAACAAACTTAATAATACACATCGAAAATTTGAAACCTCTTACGCTCATAAACCTGCCCTCAAAATTATCTGTTGCTTTAAGTGTGCTTAAAACCAAATATATGTTGCCACTTGCTTTCAACAAGAAAAAGGAATAGCAAAAGCAATAGCTAAACTTAACAGACTCTCATACAAATCCATGCTGCCATTAAGCTTTGACAAGGGAGCTATGGAGCTCAAATTCAAACCCGGATGATTACCACCTTTCAAGAAAAAGCATATCCTCTCCACAGACTTCAACTCTCTCGAGTATCAAACATTCCAAACTCTAAGCAGCATAATGAGATGAGACAGATAGTTACTTAGTCAGCTATACAAATTAACTCGTCCAACTTTTGAATCAACTCAGCACAGCTCAAGTCGTTAACAAATTGAGTCAAACTAGTCCATGCATCTTGAATAACATATAAAAAATAAAAAAGACATGAATAATAATTGATAATTTATGCACTCTGATCAATAGTTTTGTTGTGAAAGACTCTAACTTTAATGACTATGCAGACCTTAGTAATGATAATGATCCTTAAGATTACCTAAAGTAGGAAGACAGTAGCTGTGCAGCTGTGCTGCTAAGAGCCTCCAATAAATTTAGCAAAGAGCCAATTTTGCAAGCTCAGAATAGAAACCTCGGAGAGTATCCTATACCAGGTCTAGAAATATTACTACTTCTGCTGAATAAATTTAAAATGAAAAACTGAACAAAGAAAAATAGGCGTGGAATTCTTCAAAAAGCAAACCCATTGGTCCCATTCCCTGTAAGATTGCACTAATAGACATGATTTATCATCACCCTTACTTATTTTGCCTCAAAACATATAGGAAATAAGAATTCGGATAGAAAGCTTTTTTATAGGGACAGTACCACAACACGAAATGCCGCAAGACTAACAAACGAGGGATAATCCTAGTAGATCCCAACTCTTTCCAAGGCTTCAATGGTTCCAAACTTCTAATAGTTAAATGTTCCCTTCAATTTGCATATCAATATAGAACAGTCGAGCTACAAAAAGGATTATGTTGGAAAGAAGACACCCATGGGCTATGTTGTACAGTCAACCCTTCTATTAGAAGTCCTTGGCTACAAAATGTAAGTGGGTTATGTGAGTCCCCAAAAAGCAAAGAAACAAGAATTTACGGAGCAATAATGATGGTCGCAGGCTTTAGGCATATTGCCACATTTGCCGGACAATGTAAATATTGATTTCTCTTCTGTTCTTGTTAATCAACTATCATATTCCGTTTCTATGAATCCAACCTTTAATTGAACTCTCAAATCTTGACACAACTCGCTTCAAGATCCAACCGATGCAATACAGTAATTACCCATTTACGCGTCCATACACCAAAAATCGCTCCAATCAACCTAAAGCAGTGTCCAGTAAAAAAAAAACCTCACTTCCTACTTTCCAAGCAATGTAAAGATGAATGGGCAAGAACTTGTGACCTTGTCACCTACTATATAACACAGAAACTTCGACGAAGCAAGCGAACAACGTGTTCTGTACCAGATTCCCAATCACTGGTACATGTTGCCATGTTGGTTGCAAGAAAAATTATTCAAAATTGTCAATATTTTTTCATGTCTGTATCATATCATTATCCAATTCCATAAAATAGCTAGTAACAGTTACACTTTACTTAAGATTTGAGTATTCTACGGGTTTCAACCCATATATAGATCACCACTTCTAAAAATTACCAGTAAATACCACTCATCAAACTAGCAATAGTTCAATAGTTCAAATCTTAATTTCCAGTTACCCACGTACTAAAGATTACATACATCGTTCTCCTTCCAATTCACACAATTTCTAATTAATTGCATCACTGTCAAAATTAAATCAGATCCACATTCATCTCCACAATATTATCCATACAATATCAATCCACAAAAATTTACAAAATAAAACAGAATTAATTAACTACTCCGTAAGAAATAAGAAGGGTAACTTACAGAATTCCATTTTTTCTTCCATTTTTCATTGAAAATTGGAGTTGAATGAAAAGAAGCAAATTGTGTTGATGAAAAATTAAGCGAATTCCGCGAAATTAATAAGCTGCGGCATCTGGGTAGCGCCTGCATTGATGAAAATTCTGTTCTTTTTCAATGGAGTATCAATAAATTAAAGAATCGATGAAAAAAATTGAGACTTTTTTCTGCAATCCTGCTTGGATGAATCAATTAGATTCAGAGTATGAAATTGGGAAATTTTTTTGCTTAGACCATCTTTAGGTCTTTGGGAGTTTGGTTGCCTTGATTCAGGCTTTCATGTAGCGCAGTTTTTCTGGTTTGGGTTAGCCCAATTGGGTCGTCTTGTGCTAAGGCTCGAGCCAAGTTCACTTACCTTAGGATATACTAGGCCCGGAATCCGGATCACAACTCAACTCGATAATTACAAGTAGAGCTGTCAATTCGGGTAAACAGGTCGGGTCAATTCAGATTAATTTCATAACCTATGCGGGTCGGGTTTGAATTGGGTCATGCTTGAGTCGAGTCACGTGGGATCATACTTCTTATCGGATTTAGGTAGGGTTACATTCGGGTCGAGTGAACAATAGGTCGGGTTTAATTCGGGTTAAAACGGGTTTGGGTAATTCTCGGGTTCGATTCGAGTTCGGTTCAAGTCAATAATTTGCGGGTTAGAATCAGGTCGGGTCATTCTCGGGTTTGAGTCGAGTTCGGTTCAAGTCAATAATTTGCGGGTTATAATCAGGTCGGGTCATTTTCAAGTCGAGTCATTCTCGGGTTCAAGTCGGGTTCGGTTCAAGTCATTAATTTGCGGGTTATAATCAGGTTGGATCATTTCCAAGTCGGGTTATTCTCGGAGCCAAGTCGGGTTATGTTTAAGTCAATAATTTGCAGATTACAATCAGGTCGGGTCATTTCTAAGTCAGGTCATTTTCAGGTTTAACTAACTATAAATAGATAATTATCATTTTTATCAAGCTAATTATTTTTTTACTATAATATATATGGCAATATACTAGGGAACTATAGTTTATCATTTAGGAAGATAATTATCTCCTTTGACCATACAACAAGTATATACTATATTTAACTCTTAAATTTAAGGATGATGCTCCTTTCTTTTGCTGGCCTGGACCGACTTGGTCTCCCTAGACAAAATGCTTTGATCAACAATAATAAGGTGATATAAATTGCATTTAAGGTGATTTATAATCGGTTCAAGAACAATTTGGGTTGAATTTAGGTCAGGACAATAACAAGTCGTGTTGATTTTGAGTCGGGTTAGTAACAAATCGGGTTAAATTTTTGGGTCGGGTTAGTAATAAGTCTGGTAAAATTCAGGTCGGGTCAATAACATGTCGGGTTGAATTTGGGTCAGGTCAATAACAAGTCGGGTTGATTTCGGGTGGGGTTTGTAACATGTTGGGTTAAATTCGGGTCTGGTTAGGAACAAGTCGGGTTGATCTCGGGTCAGGTTAGTAACAAGTCGGTTTTAACAGGTTAAAACGGGTTTAGTTCAAATTTGATTCAAGTCGGGTTCGGTGCCAGTTAATTAAAATCCAAAATTGAAGTCTAATATCCACGCTTTTTGAGAAATTTTGGAGGTTTCGGGTACCGGTGTCGAAAGTCTTGAAATTCTATGAGATACATCTCGGGGTCATATAATGCCGTTTGGAACCATATATGATCATTATTTGTTGTCCTAAATGTTCGTGGTAGGCTTAAATTAATGAAATTGGTGCAAGTTGTAAACCGATAAATTGGTCGTTTGAAGGCAAATTGGATGGTTCCACCCACCCAATTGCATTCCCTGAGGGTATTAGGGAATATGGTAAACATTTCGGCAAATTTAATTTTTGGGCGAAAAAAATCAAAAAATTAAAAATTTTAGACTAATATCCACACTTTTTGAGAAATTTTGCAGGTTTTGGGGTCCGATGTAGAAAATTATTAATATTTTAGGGGATACATCTCGGGGTCATATAATGCTGCTTGGAACCATATATGAGCATTACATATTGTCATAAATGTTCGTAGTAGCCTTGAGTTAATGAAATCTGTGCAAGTTGTAAACCGGTAATTAAATTAGTCGTTTAAAGGCAAATTGGATGGTTGCAGCAACCCAATTGGACCGCCGGAGGGTATTAGAGACCCTGGTAAACATTTCCGCAATTTTTATTTCCGGGCGAAAAAAAAGTCATAAAATTCCAAAATTGAAGACTAATATCCATGCTTTTTGAGAAATTTTGGAGGTTTCGGTGTCTGGTGTCGAAAAGTTTTGAAATTTTAGGGGATACATTTCGGGGTCATATAATGTTGTTCGGAACCATGTATAATCATTATATGTTGTCTAAAATGTCCGTGGTAGGCTTGAGTTAATGAAATCGGTGCAAGTTGTAAATCGGAAAAGTCACCATTTAAAGGCAAAATGGATGGTTCCACCAATCTAATTGGACACCTGGAGGGTATTAAGGACCATGGTAAACATTTTGTTAATTTTTATTTTCAGGCGAAAAAAAGGTCAAAAAATTACAAAATTTAAGGCTAATATCCACGCTTTTTGAGAAATTTTGGAGGTTTCGAGGCCCGCTGTCAAAAATCCTTGAGATTTTAGGGAATACAACTCGGGTCATATAATTTCGTTTGAAAACATATATGATAATTAAATGTATTTATAAATGTTCGTGGTAGGCTTGAGTGAATGAAATCGGTGCAAATTGTAAACCGGTAAATTAGTCATTTAAAGGGAAATTTGGATGGTTCCACCCATCCAATTGGACTTTCGGAGGGTATTAGGGACCATGGTAAACCACTAGAAGAAAATACATAATGGCAAGCGGTTCAAACCCCCTAATGACAAGCGGTTCTGAACCGCATGCCTTTAGGGGGCTTGCCAATTGGCCTTTAAAATGGAAAGCGGTTCAGAACCGCTTGCCAATCGTAAAGAAAGGGCAGCAGTTTTGGCGCCAAACTGCTGCCCATTAGGGGTATTAAAAATAAAAAAAAATAAAAAAAAATTTTTGGGTTTTTTTCAATTAAATTGATACATAATCAATCCAAATGTAAAAACATTAATATTTTTATTAATTAATTGTTATAATATCATTTAATTTACACCACCAGCCACCACCCACAACAACAGCCACCAAACACCACCAGCCACCAACCACCACCCCACACCACCAACAACAAAAAAAAAATACGACCAGCCACCAAACACCACCAGCCACCACCCACAACAACAGCCACCACAACACTAGTAGAAAAGAAGACCCCCACCCACGACCAGACCCCCACCCAAACCCAATCCCAAACCACAACCCCTACCCACCACGACCCTAACCCAAACCACAACCCCCACCCACCACGACCCTAACCCAAACCACAACCCCCACCCACCACGACCCTAACCCAAACCACCACCCAACCCACCCCCCCCGCCCACCACGACCCTAACCCAAACCACAACAGCCACCACGACCCTAACCCAAACCACAACCCCCGCCCACCACGACCACACCCCCACCCAAACAACGACTAGAAAACGCCGATTTGGACAAAAAAAAATCGACCCACCTTAAAAAACATACCATCTAACCACAACGACCAACAAAAAACCGATTTGGGCTTGAAATTATGGTTTTAAAGGTCAAATTCGACCATAAAAACTCTAGATCTAGGGTTTTCATGGTCGAATTTGACCTAAAAAACTTGAACACCCCAACACATGCACAAATTTGCTCGATCTTGTTCGAAATTTGCTCGATCTTGTTCGAAATTTGCTCGATTTTACTTGGGGTTTTGTTCGATTTTGCTCGAATTTACTTGTTTGGCTCGAATTTAAGGAGATGAGAAAGAACAAAGAGAAAGTGAAAGAGAAGAAAGGGGCGAATTAGGGAAGAGAAGAGGAGAGAGAGGAAAAACGGGAGTAAAAATGAAGGAGGAGAGAGATGAACTCGGCGGAAATGAAAGAAAGAGGAGAGATAGAGGTAATGTGATGCGCGTTTAGGAGAGAGAGAGCTGAGTAAAGAAAGAGGAGAGAGAGAGGGAAGGTGATGCGCGTTTAGGAGAGAGAGAGCTGAGTAAAGAAAGGGAAGGTGATGCGCGTTTAGGTTTTTTTTTTTTAAATGGCAAGCGGTTTGGGGTTGAACCGCTTGCCAATATATCTAATGGCAAGCGGTTCAACCCCAAACCACTTGTCATTATATATATTGGCAAGCGGTTCGCGCCAAAATCGCTTGCCATTTAAAATTACAGGATTTTTTTTTAAAAAAAAAGGTGAATGGCAAGCGGATTTTAAAAACTGCTTGCCATTTGGGGCTTCCCATCACTTATTTTCTACTAGTGAACATTTCGGCAATTTTTCTTTCTGGGTGATAAAAAGTCAAAAAATTCCAAAATTGAACACGCTTTTTGAGAAATTTTGAAGGTTTCGGGACCCAGTGTCAAACAGATGAAATTTTATGGGATACATATCGAGGTCATATAATGTCGTTTGGAACCATAAATGATCATTATTTGTTGTCCTAAATGTTCGCGGTAGGCTTGAATTAATGAAATCGGTCCAAGTTGTAAACCGATAAATTGGTCGTTTTAAAGGCTAATTGGATGGTTCCACCCACCCAATTGGACACCCGGAGAGTATTAGGGACCATGGCAAGCATTTCGGCAATTTTTATTTTCGGGCGAAAAAAAAAATCAAAAAATTTAAAAATTGAAGACTAATATCCATACTTTTTGAGAAATTTTGCAGGTTTCGAGACCCGGTGTAGAAAAGTATTAATATTTTAGGGGATACGTATTGGGGTCATATAATGCCGTTTGGAACCATATATGAGCATTATATGTTGTTATAAATGTTTGTATTAGGCGAGAGTTAATAAAATCCGTGCAAGTTGTAAACCGGTAATTAAATTGATAGTTTAAAGGAAAATTGGATGGTTCCACCAACCCAATTGGACCCCCGAAGGGTATTTGGGACCATGGTAAAAATTTCAGCAATTTTTATTTCAAGGCGAAAAAAAGTCAAAAAATTCCAAAATTGAAGACTAATATCCACGCTTTTTGAAAAATTTTGGAGGTTTAGGGACCCGGTGTCGAAAAGTCTTGAAATTTAAGGGATGCATCTCGGGGTCATATAATGTTGTTTGGAACCACATATGATCGTTATTTGTTGTCATAGATGTTCGTAGTAGACTTGAGTTGATGAAATCGGTGCAAGTTGTAAACAGGTAAATTGGTCGTTTAAAGGCAAATTGGATGGTTCCACCCACCTAATGGGAATTCCAAAAGATATTAGATACCATGGTAAATAT